TTATTTGTTGATTTCGATCGAAACCGGGACTCCAATCGAAGGTTGAAGTTTCGGACTTTTGAGAGAGTTTGTGGGGGAGTGAGAGGGCGAAGTGAGAGGCGAAGAACTGTGAAATGAGCGGACCTAGGGCAGTTCTCGCGTCCAGAAGAAGCAGGAGGTGGCACACGCCGGAGGGAGGCCGAAATTGCGGCGGTGACTCAGCAGAAAGGAAGAGGCGGCGCGTGACCTGGCCAAGACCGCCGGAACGGACGGTCTGCACAAGCGGAACGGACGGTCTGCTTGTCAGACCGGACGTTCTGGCCCGTTTTCGTCCGTTTTTCTCGCTCGTTTCGGTCCAATTCTTCGGGTCAACTTGGTTAGTGTTCAATTCAATATTTTAGGGACATTTTTATGACTCATATCTGATTTCCTAAAATTTGGTTTGAAAGTCGAATTTACGGGTTATTACAGGGTGCGACCACCCTCCTCGCGTTGGATTAGCATGCAGACATTGTCGTATGAAGGTAATGTGTCTTGCCGGAGAATGTGATATATCATATCATTGTACGAGCTATCGAGAGTAAGGAGGATGGAGAAGATCTTATCTTCTTCAAGACGGGCCTTAAACCCTTCCACGTCAACAGAATTCGGACGCAAGTCCTCTAGTTCTGTCCATAGAGCTGCAAACTCTCCATGAACAAGATTGAAAGGTTTCCCGTCTTGTTGCAGAGCAGTCATGCGTTTTTTTATTTCAAAAACACGACAGAGATTTGATAAGTTACCATACACCTTTTGGAGAGCGTCCCACAGAGCTTTAGCCGTTTCTGGAGCTATGAAGGATTTGAGAAGATGCTCATCCAACGAACTTTGCAAAATTGTGAGAGCTAATTGATCATCTTGGCTCCACTTCTTCAGTTCAGCAGTGGTGTTAGCCACGGGAATTGGATCTTCAGGATTGACAGGTATTGTCGGGGCCGGTGGACTCCATTCAGACTGGGTGATATGAATGCAGAGACCTTTGCTGCGCAAAACAGCCTTTGCGGCTTTCGACCAATAAAAATAGTTCTCACCATGGAGAACGACAGGGATGATTTTGGCGTGGAATTCCATGGTTGTGAAAAAAGGCCAGAAACACAACAGAGAAAGATGATTAGTGGAAGCAAAGTCTGAACCGTTATGGCTCTGATACCATAAAGGTTTTCTGAATCAAAGAGAAAGATAAGTAAAAGAGTGCTCTTCTGTATATTGATAATCAGACTATGAGAGGGTTAATATACAGAGTATTCTAACATCTATAGCATGTATAAAAGGGAAAGCAATCAACAGACATATATTACAGAATATATAAATAGGCTATATATATGTATTATTTCCCTCTTTATGATGCGGAGATTGTGGTGTAATGAGATTCTTTCTTCTATTACGCATTGCGTATCATATATATACACATTAAATAGGAAATTCATGGAAAATTACAATCCTATATACATATAAACACACATATACATATATACATACATACACATATACATATATATATATATGCATATATATACATATATATACATATGTATAAACACATACATATACATATATATATACATATACATATATATAAACACACATATATAAATACATACATATATATATATATATGCATACACATATATACATACATACTATATTTATATACATACATCTAAATACATAAATATATGTAAAACATGATCCTCATCTTTTTCTCACTAATCTCCACGCACAGACAAAAAATATTAACCCTAATAAGAAGCCGGAAATCTGAAAGATATCTTGAGCCCATACGAAGAAAAAAATAAGGGTTTGAATTCAAAAGGAAAAACTCTAAAAAATTTGAACTTGCTAAAATATTTAAGAAAAAACCCAAAACTTGCAAAGTTATCGGAAAAAAATTTAACTTACAGCATGTATCTAGAAAAAACCTTGAATTTGCAAACCGATACCAAATAAAATATTTTCCAATTTGACCAATTTTTCAAACGATCGGATTTCCAACGTCGGTTTGCAAGTTCCAGGTTTTTTCTAGATACATGCTACAAGTTAGAGATTTTTTTCGGCAACTTTGCAAGTTTGAGATTTTTTTTATTATTTTCAATATTTTTTTGGGAGTTTTTTCAATTTAAAAATATAGATTCATTAAATTTCTGAACTTTCGGACATGGGACCAAATGGGCTTCAGACCTACTAAGTCCAAATCTTTTGTCCCTCTAAACTTATTTCCACAATCCATCCCACCTGTATATAGCATTAGGGAGGGTTGACGTTTCGAGATTCGATTCAAAATTTTAGCGGTTCGGGTTTGGAATGGTTTATTTGGTATTCTAAAATTTGTACCAAATTAGTAGCATATATTATTCGATTCAGTTCGATTCCGGATTCGCTACGGTTCGATTTTAGTTTTTGTTACAAAAAATTAGATTTTCATAAAAAAAATTTGGTTTTTTGGAAATTTTATAAAGTTCGGTTCTGAAAAATTGGGTTCTGTAAAAAAAATATACCGTTCGAAAATTTTGAATAGTATGGTTCGAAAAAATACTGAGATTTTCGGTTCGATAACGAACCAAATCGAAATGTCCACCCCTAATGTCATTATTTTTATTCAATATAAATTTGGGTATTTTATAACAAAAAAACTATTCAATTAATTTTTTTTATATTATTTCGATAAACAAATTTTTGAATACTATAAAATTCTATTTCTTCCTAGCTACAACCTAAAAATTAAATAATTAATTCATTTGATTACGAGAGTTTATTTTTTATTAATAATTAGAGGATATACATGTAGAATTCAAGAGAATATATGTTAAAAATAATATAAAATATTTTAAGAATAAATTTCTCAAAATGTGTTTCTAGTTTTGATGCATGATGATTGAAAAAAATAATTAAATTGATGATATGTAACAATTTTAAAAAAATTACTCAATCACATGATTTTTTATTAATTTTTTAAAATTATTTGATAAAAAATGAATTTTATTTTACTTTGTGTGAGAATTTGTTGATCGTAATTTATAACAGTTCGTAAATCTTTGTTTGGAGATGCAGAAAAATCTAGGGATCTAACTCTAGATTCCAACAATAGTTATGACATCAATGTTAGAGTATCAATGATTAATCAGATCATTTAGATTGTTGTGTCGATCTTATGTGAAAAAAATATATATTTAGTTTTAATCTAAAATTTTGATTGTCATATATAATCGTGATGTGTAGGCTACGATGGATGTGAATTCGATAAGTTGACTACAAACATAAATTAATATTGGTTTCTTTCAATATGTTTATTTAGTTTTCGAATAATTTACTCTAATTTTGTTAAATTTAAATAATTTTTATTAAATTTTTTATATGTAAACAGAACTATTGTATTATTTTTTGTGGTTGCGTTGCGATTGTAAATAAAAATTATTTATTATTATTAAAAAAATTAGAAGTCCAATCCGAATCCACCTCTCAAATATAAACACAAAGTTTTACCAAACTAGATCGATCTAACCCAAAAAAATTCTAAGCGGAAGTGGTTCGACTCGACCCACCCATTTTACACTCTATCCCTAACTAAGTAAATTAATAAATTAAGACAATGAAAAAAATGGCATCAATTTCATAGAAAATGATCCAACTTTTAAGTCGAATTTCCAATATAAAATATTTATAAATTCAATTTCATATTCTAGTCTTAACGATGCAGTCGATGTGTAGAAAAGTGTTTTCAATTTCAAAAGTTGAAATATTTATTTATTTTTTGGCACATTTCAACATTTGGTGCATTTTTTTTGTCAAATTAAAAGGGTGTATATTTTTTGACATATTTTGTAAAGTTATTATGAGATTTTTCATTTTCGCGATTTAAAGAATGGGAATTAGAGGCACCAAAGGAGATTCAGTTATGCGTTAAGTACGATATACCCCGAAAATGAGCCACCTTGTATGCTAAAATTAATAAAAAAAAAAGATATCAATTTTAAAAATCTCATGAAAATATCTTAATTTAATAAAAGATGCCAAAAAAACATATCAATTTTAATTAAATAAATAAGTGTATCAAATATCAAAATGTGCCAAGAAAATACTTCAACTCTTGAAATTGAAAGCAATTTTATATCATTGACGATATCGTTAAAATTGGAATATGAAATTGTTTTTGTATAAAGATCTATTAAAATTCGTATATGAGACAATTTCAAACAATTTAAATAGAATCATTGACGGTTTAATTAAGGACCGTGCATGAAATTGATTTCAATTCGAAAAATTAGATTTTTTTGGCACATTTCAATATTTAATATATTTATTTGTTAAATTAAAAGTTGATAAATTTGTTGACATATTTTATAGAATTCAGATATTTTTATTGGTTTTGTCCAAAATAAACTTATCGTTTTCATGTGGAACTAAAATTAATGGAAAAAATAATAATCTATTAAAGTTTACTTGCAATTCAACAAAAACGGAAAAACAAAATATCAATTTATATATTTTCTATCATCATGACCACTTTTAATCCAAAATTAAATTAGAAAACACAAAGACAATGAATAATTTGGATGTATAATCGAATTATCTAATCTTTTTTTATATAATGTTTATCTAATCTTAATAGTAGAGAATGTGTACTTTTTAGATCTTTAATATAATATTCGCCCAATAATTCTTTAAATCATATCAAATTCTTATTTTATATATATAATGCTAAGAACCCCTATATCTATAAGCTATGTCACATGACTAGAAACTATTTTGAAAATGATCATTTACGTTAGTAAGACAAGTCAAATTTCTCTATAAAAAAAAGGAAACAATAATGAAATTATATAAGCTGCTCGACATAAAAAAAAATAATTTAAGAAAAAAAACAAATAACGATTTACTGAAATCCGAAACTGCTCGTGACAATTGCCGTACACACGTGGCATTATTCGATTCGCTTATTCTACTTCTCCGGGATTCAACGAAAACCAATAAAAACAAAACTCTCTCTCTCGCTGTTCCATTTCCTGTGTTTTCCACTCCCCAAATCCTATATTTCTCACTCGAATTTCCCCAGTTTCCGCCATTGTTACTCCCGAATTGAGCTACGCAATGCTTGATCCTCTGACCTAATTCGGATATGGAATCGTTTTAGTTCCGTATCTTCGGTTTTTACTGTAACAATTCTTCTCTCAGAAACGACAAAAGAATACAGAAGAAAGGCGTTGATGGAGACTGCAGTGGAGAGCAACATCAATGGCGGATTCTCTCAGCTTCACCGGAGTTTCTACAGTGGAGGAGACAGTAGTGACGAAGAGCTGTCGTTACTTCCCCGACATACAAAGGTTGTCGTCACCGGAAACAACCGTACCAAATCCGTTCTCGTCGGTCTTCAAGGCGTTGTCAAGAAGGCTGTTGGTCTCGGTGGATGGCATTGGCTGGTAATTTCGCTTGAATTTTCACCTAGGGTTCCTCTTTTTTTTTTTTGGTCGGAAACGACGATTTTTTTTGTTTGTTTTTGAATCCGGAATTTTACTTCAATTGATTATTGGCTGGTTGGATGTTCTTGCATTACGAATCTGGTCTCCCTTTCAAATGAATCTGTGTTTGAATGTAATTTTGGATCTCTTATTTGTTTACTTTTGAGAAATTTCTTCCCGGGTTTTTCTTTCTGTGTTTCCTTAAATATTTTATTTCCCCCAATTTTATAACTATTTTAATACGAATTTATTTGTCCCACTTTAAAAGATTTTGCCTCGAATCTTTCTTCTGTACCGAGTTTGCCCTCCCATGTCCGTCTGCGGAATTAGGGTTTGTAAAGCATGTTAATGTCTCACCATGTTTTAGAACAAACCATGATCGAGGAGTCGATTTTGATACCCGGATCGAGTTTTCAATGTCAGCGAATCGATTTCAATCAACGTCTCTTCGTCTTTTGGCCACGAAAACATTGCAAAAATTAAGATCACATAACAGGATGAGTAATTTTTTTTCTTTTTCTTTTTTGGATTGAATCCAATTCCAGACAAAATTCGTTTTTTTGGATTCGCGGGTTTATTAGGGTTTGAGGAAAAATGATTCGAATCCAAACCAACCCAAATTTCCTCTGGTTTTTATTCACTTCATCACTGAATAAACTAACAAGGAAATAAGAAAACACCCAATTGTGGTTTCTTATGAACAATTTCATTTCACAGGTAATCTAGTGCTCATTGTATAATTGAATTGATTTAGTTCTCGTTTCCCTCTTCAGTTGAATCTAATTCCGCTTTTGTCGTTTCGTTGCACTTCTAATTTTGTAAAGTCACTGTGGTTTGGACAGGTTTTAACGAATGGTATCGAGGTTAAGTTGCAGAGGAATGCACTTAGTGTCCTCGAACCTCCGACCGGTAACGAAGAAGACAGCGCCCTTGAATTTGAGGGCACGCAATGGAAAGTCACAGACATGGGTGAGTTTGATCGTGTTTCTTTATGTTGTCTTCGGCTGGTTTCCTCAAAGTCCTGTTTTTTTTTGCCCTTTTCAGCGTTTGTTTCAGCGTGTTTGATTCATCTTAGAGTGGACTTTTACAAGGAGATTGATACATGATCCTCTGTTCTTTAACTTTTTGCTTTCGCTATTGATCATTTGTTGCAATAATCAATCATATCCTAAGCCTTTTTTCATGGACCCCATCCCCCCAATCATGCTGTTTTCGTCTCAGCATCCGATGACATTCAAAAGCCGCATAAATCACGGCACAGGACGCATAAGTCATGTGGGTTGTCGCCTAAGACAGTGAGTAGGTGTTGTGTCGCTTTGGAATCTCACAGGGACTCGGTTCCTCCGCCACTTGGAGCCATGGTATATGTTCTTCAATGTTTCTTGGGATTTCGTTTTTAGGTGCATTCTCCACAACGTTTTTAAAATTTTTCTGAAAAATCTTGCCTTTCCTTTGTAGAAAGTCGACCTCGGCAAACTTGAGATGGCTGCATTGTGGAGATACTGGCGTCACTTCAACCTCGTGAGCTCGAAGGCCTTTTTCCTCATCAATGTTATCCTTTCTCTGTTTTGTATTGAGTAAGATTGCTATTTTAGGTGGACAAATTCCCTAACCCTTCAAAGGAACAACTAATCGATGTCATTCAGACACATTTCATGTCACAGGTATTGTAACATTTTAATCTCAACCCCTGTTTCTCTGGTCGTGTCCGTACGTATAACTCCATGTTCATTACAGAATCTCTGTCTTTTTGATGTTTGTTGTACCACCATTGTCACAGCAATTGGATGAGCTGCAAGTCATTGTTGGGTTTGCTCAGGCGACAAAAAGACTGAAGACAGTTGGCAAATAAAAACTCGAGAAACTTACTATCAAATACTAACATGAATCTGATCCTCCATTGCCCGGTTTCTTTTCTTTCCCTAGCTTATGTCGACTCATTTTGGTAAACTGTATTTATGTAGATGCAAGCGCTCAATAGAGCTGGTGAGTGAGTAGTGATTTAGGCTTCATGGATTGTCGTTGTGTCAGCGGTATTCTCGGTAGTTCACTGCCCCATTGAGGTCGGATTTCTGTGGAAAAGATGTACATAGGTCCACCACGAGGGATCTCGGCGAGAACTGCCTTCTATACTCATGCTGATTTTGTGGACACTATCTGGATTTCTAGTAGGTTTAGCTTTCTGGTGTTGGGGATAGTAATTTGCGTATGAACTCTTGTTCTGATTTCAAAGCTTTAGCTAAAACCCTGGAAACATGGCGTATCCGTAAATCTAAGCGTCCTTCTCCTCTTCGGTACTCTTGTTCTGATTTCAAAGTTTGTTGAGACTAATTTACCACTGATTTATGACAAACTAATGACTAATTAACGATTTATTTGTGATTTTACGATTCGGTGGCAGTGTAAAAATTGTGAATCGATGAGTTTTCGTCGAGAGATATTAACTTCAAATTAAATAATAAAAATGGTTTTCAATCGCGATTTAACATAGTTTATAAAGTTGTAAGTTATAAGCCAGATCATATGAAAGTCTGAACAGTATAATATACATTTAGATATGAATAATCATAAAGTAATAAAAATTATACAAAAGTTAGAACAATGATCTCAAACCTATTTTTATTTTTAAATTTGAATGCAGTCATCATCTTTCAACGATCACTTGTCAAAATTAACAATTTTTACACACTTTCAATGAATCGTAAAATTATAAATAAATAATAAATTAGTCTTGATAACTTTGTCGTAAATTAATACTAACCTAATCGTGGTTTTGACAAACACCCATTTCTTTCTAACATCCACCTGTAACCTTTTTTTTTTCTAATTTTAGAAAAGTTATACTTTAATTTTTTTTCGTTTTTTTAATTTTATCTTTAACTCAATGGACTCGCACAAAAACAAATATATTAAAAAAAAAAGTACGGCTTGTTTGCCATTTTATCCAGAATCAGTTACGACTTTTTCATCATGAAACCAAAAAAATCATAAGTTGAGTTCAAGATTTCAAATACAAAATGTTCAAAAATTATCTGCTGCATCGGGTGACGACAAAACAGATGAGTGCTAAATGTTAATTCGACACACCATTTGTTTCATTGAATCTGATATCCCCCAAATGGAAAATGCATCTCTCCACCAAACTTTATCAATACTATTTTGCAACATCTTATTACATCATTTCATGTCTCATTTAGATTTTTTAGATTATAATTATTTTATTTTTTTTATTAATTTTTCAAATCTTTTTTATTTTTATTCAATCACTATCTTCTATTTTTTCAATTAATTTAGTTCAATCCGTTTAACTTTTAAATTACATTTAAGTGTGATATAATTATTTATTTTTTTTATCTATCACAATAATTCAACTTATAAGTTTTTATTTCTTTAATATTAATTTGTTCAGTTATTCTGTTTGATTACTTTTTTTTTGTTGATAGTCCAATTAAATTATGATATTTTATTATCATAATTTAATATTTATATTTTGAAATAAAGTTACAAAAATTAACATTTGAATTTTTAATATAAACAAAAATTTTGGATGAACAATTCAAAATTTTATTATAAATTATAATTATATATTTGTTATTGTATTAAAAAATCTAAAACATAAGATAAATTAATTTTTAAAACAATTCATACAAAAAAAAGTAAAAAAATATTTGAAGGAATATAAATTATTTAATTAGTATACATTTGTTGTGAGATTAAGTTGCGAATAAATATTATAACTAACTATAATAATTAAATCTAAATATATAAAATAATCTATTAAAGATTTGTGTATGGATTGTATTTATACCTTTTAATGGATCGTATTTATAAAATAAATAAATGTTATAATTAGATCTTTAGAACGTTGTGCAGTAATAATAGACATAACTTTTCACGAGCATTTTTTTTACACACTTTAATTCATCAAGGATAGCTATGGCTTTTCTCTTTTTACAAATACCAAGGGTAAACTTGATATTTGTTAAATGTGTTTAGAACCGATCCAACTCGGTTATTAGAGTGATTTTTCCAATTAACATCTCTAATTGCAATAAACAGGGGTATTATAAAAAATGCCCTTAAAATGCTACTTGTATTTTATGGAGTACCCTTCCATCAGAAAAAAAAACTCTCCTTCAGATATACCCTTCTCATATGTACAATTTTCATTATACCCTTATGTTATAAAACAAATAAAATTAAAATAAATAAAAATAATAATTTACCTCCTAAAAAACAGTAAAAACAGTGTTGATTTATCTCTTCTCATTATCAGTTTTTATTCTCTCTACTCCGACATTTGCGCTCTCTCTCTCCTCCGTTTGCCCTCTCCCTCCATTTGCTCTCTCTCTCTCTCTTCCAATTTGAACTCTGTCTCCGCCGCCGCCGATTTGCTCTCTCTCCCCATCGTCTTCCGATTTGGTTGCTCTCCCTTCAGATTTGGTCTCTGTGTCCTCACATTTGCTTCATTTATCCGATTTTCTTACTCTCTCTTCGATAATTTGCGAAACTGCTTCAAATCTCATGGAAATAGGTAAGTTTCGACTTAGATACTGTTATTCTGTGGGGTTTTTCTTGTTTTTGAGTTGTTTACTGTGTTTTGTGGGGAAAAATCGAGTCACATGAGACATTTGGACATATGAGACATATGAGTTACATGGGTTACATAATCATATGAGTCACATATATCACATGGGACAGACACATGGGTCACATGGATCATGGGTCACATGGATCACGGGTCACATGGGTCACGGGTCACATGGATCACTTGGGTCACATGGGTCGAATTTATCGAATTGGTGACTTGTCATGGTTATGCAGTGATTAATCATGGATTTTAACATCAATAACAACTTCAAAATCATGTTCGTTTCAATTTTCATATTCATTCTGGTAACGTGTCATTCGGTTTGTAAATTTTTTTTACAGGTATAATGGATGTAATGGAGAGTGTTGGGTTTTCCTGGAATCTCAAGAGCGAATCTAATTCCTAAGAGATCAGTTCTAGGGTTTGCGCAGCGGATGTAAAACAAAAATTTTGATGAAACCCTAAAACCTATCATGCATGATCTTGTAGAAACGTTAGAACGCTTACCTCAATCGATCCGGGGCCTGTATCAATTGATGTGTTCGTCCGATCACTGTAGGCAGGAAGAATACCTTGCCCTCTACATGTATCCACACGGCGGAAAGGATTCCAACGGTTGGAACTTGTCTGCTAGAACTGAAAAACACTTTCTTCTTTGCGCAAGGGTTTCAGGGATCTTTCTCTTAGGTTTTTCACTCTCAAAACCTCTCAATAGGGTCTGAAAATCGTGCCTTGAGAATTAGGAGCGTTCCCCTGAGTTTATCCCACTTAAAACCCTAATTAGAGCGAGTTTAGGAAATCCTGACGTCTGGACCGATCGGTCTGGAACAATTTCCGGACCGTGTGACTGTCACGCATTATCTCCGGACCGACCGGTCCACCTGTCTGGACCGATCGGTTTGGGTTTGCTGGACCGATCGTTCTAGACTTCTAGACCGGTCGGTCTGGCCTCTGCTCCACCGGGATTTTCTCGTCTCTTCTCGCTCATTCGTCCTTTCCTATGTGTGTGACCCTGTAGGCTCATCCGATATAGAAGTATAACCCGAAATCTCTATTCCGGATATACAAGTCATAGGCGGTCTCTAG